GATCAGCTGCCTCCTGCACACCTCCCACTGGGGATGTGCCCGCAACCCAGGTACATGCCCTTGACCGGAATCGAACCTGGGACCCTTCAGTCCGCAGGCCGACGCTCCATCCACTGAGCCAAACCGGCTTCGGCCCCCCAATAACTCTTAAGGAAGATCTAGAAGCACTTCTACTTCATTTTTGAGGAAACTGAGGCACAGATGGTCAGCAACTTCACAGAACCAGCCACGGGCAGAGCTGGGCAATGGTGACCATGTATTGGCAATGTTTTGGTTCAGAGCCCAAGTTCTGTCTAAATTTTTCATTGTGATAGTTTGGACCAAATCACTTATTCCAGAGAAAATATTCTCCAATAGCCTTATCTACTTTTTCATCCAACAATTGTTCTTCATAACACATAAACAAGTCCTCGTGAATGGCTTTAATTATAGCTGAAGCCAACTAAGGAGAAATATCTCCAAGAATGAGTCAGACTAAGGACATTTTTATGAAAAGTCAGCCAGCATTGGGATTAGCACAACTGATCACATTAACCCCCAAACTTACCAGAGCCAACAAAGGTTCTCTCTAGGCTTAAAAAAAGGGTGGAGGCCCAGCTGGTGTGGTTCAGTGGTTGACCACTGACCCATGAGCCAGGAGGTCACGGTTCGATTCCCAGTCAGGGTTCATGCCCAGGCTGTGGGCTTGGTCACCAGTAGGGTACTTGCAGGAGGCAGCCGATCAATGATTCTCTCTCATCATTGATGTTTCTATCCCTCTCTCTGAAATCAATTAAAAAACACACCGCAACTTATTTTTTTTTAAAGGGGTGGAGAATTACCTTTATATCTCTTTTTCTCTTCCTCGGTCAGATGTTCTGTCCGTATTTTGGTTATCACACTCACATTATTTACTGTGTAAACCTTGAGAGACGTGTGCAAGAGAAAATAGTGACACAGGGAATCAAAACTCAAAAAATAAGCATAGCAAGAGCAAGAATGCTGAAGCCAAAATAAAAAAAATAAAAAATGCAGCAAAATAAAAATGAGAAATGGTTAACAATCATTAGGATCCTTCAGAGAAAGTACATAAGCGATCAGCTTAGAAAGGCCTCAGCAGTCACTTTGCATCTCAGAGAGTTTTAAACACTGAGGACTTAACAGGGACAGGTTTCATCTTCTTGTTGCTAAGTGCTCTCAAGAAGGTCCTGCACTTCAGGCCTCCCCCCTGCGTTTCTATTGTGCTAAGGCATCCGAACCTGCACTGAGGACTTCGACTGATTTCTGGCCATCTTATAATAGGACTTATAATAAGACAGCCATCCGCTAGGCAGGAGGAAAAAGGAGTGAACAAAAGGTTCTCTACACTGATAAGCTTTACAACCAGAAGTCACTATTTAAAGGCATGCTGGGTATTGACAAAAATCATTGTAGCTGCCAGAGGCAATGCTCTCTGTTATCAAGGTTGACTGGGAACTATGGCAGTTTAGAAAATCAAATGTCTCGATTAACAGAGAATTAACTGTATCCAGCATACGTTCCCAGGTCCAGGAAACACACTCAGCACTGGAATGACTGTTACTAAATGTGTCTTGCTGAGCATGACGTCAGCTTTCTTTGCTGCTCAGAGGTCACCAGAGGATTCTGCAGTGCCTGGCTCCATCCCCTGGACCATCAGTCCTGCTGTACTGCAGGGCTCGGGAAGGGCCAGGAAACAGGGCTGTCCAGCAGACAAAGTGCCAGCTGTCGTCTCCACTATGACAACTATGTTCTAAATTCACTGATGTCATGTAAGTGGGCTGCAAGCCAATTGGTTACACATAGGCTAACTAAAAAAAATGGAGACTCATAAAAGCTACTGTATTTTTTATAAAACCACTCAGGTTATAAAAAAAGATGAACAGTCATGTTAAATCTAATCCTCTCTGTTGGAGACTCATAAAAGCTACTGTATTTTTTATAAAACCACTCAGGTTATAAAAAAAGATGAACAGTCATGTTAAGTCTAATCCTCTGTGTGTGTGTGTGTGTGTGTGTGTGTGTGTGTGTGTGTTTCATTCTTACCAGGACAACTGGTACCTGTCCTCATTTCTCTACAGTCGTGTTTCTCTTTGGCATAACTAGAGACCTCCTTGGGACATGCTATCCCATTTTCTGAGAGTCAAATAAGATAAAAATCCAAGTGAGAGACACACTAGACAGTACTTAGTCCCCAGAGCATCTCCATGGCACAGATGCATGACAATCTGAACAGACTCATTTGCATAGAAGCTAAATTGCTATATTAAATCTTATTTTAAGAGTTTCCTTTTACCTTTGCTTCGTAACCATTAACAACTTCTGCTTTATCTGTCCTCCAGCCCCAGAATCCGGATTTAGTTCTGATAAAAAGTGAACACCACAAATTTCTACATGTACAATATGCCATTCAGATTTATCCCTGCAGCCTTTATAGTTTCTTCCCCCAGCTTAAGTTAGTGAAGGACACCTGGAAATCATGGTCCAAGTGTCCATAAAGGACTTTATCAATGACAGACGGCTGAAGCATCTCCCGCACCCTCCCAGCTATCAATCAGTTTGCCTCACCCCTGGCACAGAAAGCCTCCATTCTTGGCTTCTTTACAGTAATTGCCAGCACGGGAAGCAAAGGTGGTGACATTTATCGGACAGCTGTCCCAAAGGAGTGAGTGGCGATAACCAGCGTCCAAGGCTCGCCACAAGGTAGTATCTGGGTCAGAGCATTTATCTGGGTCATCTTAATATGGGCACAGATGTCAGGGGCTCTGGCCCATAAGCAGCCACAATCAGTGGAGGAATTCTTAGAACAAGGACACATAGACCATCTTGCTCCTTGGGAGAGTGGGGGTGGGGGGCAGGAACCCATCACTGTGGCAAGCTGCTTGGAGAAGCCATCAGTGCCTCCAAATGGCTTGGGAGTCAGTCACACATTTTACCAGGCTGGGTGCAGCAGGGGGAAAGGGTGTTAAAAGCAGGGTTTCAGCCCAGCCGTTGATCCCAGCTCTGTGGAACTGCTTTTAAAGTAGCCCAGCATTCCAGCAGCAGCTGCAGCATTGGTAAAGTGCCCCGAAACCCAGTTATTCCACTCAACACATTCCTGGAAAAAATGCATTTAGGAACCAACAGCAGCCAAGAGGCTCTGGTTCTTTTTCAAAGCATCACACCCTGGGAAATGCTATTACTCAGGGGAGCCCTGGCCAGACCGCCCCTTTGTCTAGGACATCACATCCTAGCTCCACTGTGACTGCTGCACGTGGCCCTGTGTAGGGCAGCTGCCTGCCTTCTGCTCTGACCCTGGAGTGAAGTGGGACATCAGGTGGCATGTTAGCCAGTCACAAAGAAGGTCTGTGATCATTTGCATATTGTGTTTCCAAACAGTTTGCTTTTCTTCTAATGGGATTTAGTAAATGAAATGAGGCCAGATGGGGTATAAGGAGTTTTATGTATGCATTACAGCCCACCAGAGGAAGGAGGGACCAAAGCTTTAAATGTCCTATTAGTTGTCCACAATTAGTACGCCGTGACCCTTGGAGGGAAAGAAAGAAATCCTAAAGGGATTACACAAACTACTTACTCGCATGTCCAAGTGACATTTCAGAAACAAAATGATCCTGGGGTGCAGGGGGCTAGAGACCACACCTAACTGATGAATAAACCGGAGCCCCCTCTTAGTCATTGATAACTGAAAATCGAGATACTCCTTTTGGTTAACAAACTCAATCCTCAGTTCCTGTCTGTCACTAAGTCACTTGACAGTTCAGCACAGGAAATATTCCTTTCCTGGCACAGAGTCGTCCGGAGGACCAAAGGATGACCAGGCCACTCCACTTCGTCCTTCACGTGTGCTAAGCAAACAGCTGCACTGTTCTCCCTGGGAACCACCGTGCTCCTCACTCACCTCCCTCAGCACAACCCTGACTATTCCATTTCCTTTTCATCTTCACTCTCCGATGGTTTCGTTTTGTCTTTTAGAAATTAAAGAACTTATTGCCCAGCCAGTATGGCTCAGGGGTTGAGCATTGACTTATGAACCAGGAAGTCATGGTTCGATTCCCAGTCGGGGCACATGCCCGGGTGTGGGCTCAGTCCCCAATAAGGGGCATGTGGGAGGCAGCTCATCAATGATTCTCTCTCATCGTTGATGTGTCTGTCGCTCTCTCCCTCTCCCTTCCTCTCTGAAATCAATAAAAATAAATATATTTTTTAAAATTAAAGAACTTATTTTGGTATTTCTTCAATAATGATGTGAGACTGAATTCCATCCAATAGAGGCATCTTCTTTGGGGTAATCTGCAGATAGCAACATCCACTAATCCAGCACCAATTCCTTCACAAAATCCGCCACTAATCTGCCCTCTTGACTGGAAGTCAGTCCTCTGACAGTTTAGTTACTAAATTCAATGTCTACATCCTAGTTTAAAACCAAGACTCTAATAACTCCTTGGCACTTAACTTTACATGCAGAGGCATATGAAGATGATATGAGAGATCTCAGCTCCCTCTTTTGCCATTTTCACCTCTGCCTGTCTCCACTGAGACCACCACCCCAAAGGCCACTGGCTTGGAGCAAGCACTGGCTCGGAGGCTGCTACCCAATGGGAGAAAAGCCATGGTGGTGGCAGGAAATACTTTGTTTAGGATGAGTTGAGCATAATCTTTCAGAGAAGAGAAAAACCCAAAATGTGATCAGAGGGTATATGTTAGGCCAAAAATTTATGCAAGAAGGGCACTGATTTACAAGCATCAAGCCCCAAGCAAGATTAGAAAAAAGAAATGGATGAAAACGACTATTATAATATTAGAGATCCACATCTTCCAACTTCAATCAAATGAACACTCATACCTCCAGTAGCAAACCTCACTCAAGAGTGCCTCAAATCCTTACTCAATGCACAAGATGCTCACTGGTCACCACAAATAAAGCAGCCGAGCAAACAGAATCCTGGAGAGATGAAGCCACCTGCCCAAGCCGCACAGTTAGCTAGTGGCCCTGTGATGAGGGTCAGTTCTTTCTTTCAGCTCTTGTCACTACTGCTGGGAGACGGCAGTGAGGGCAGGGTCCTCTGTCTTCTAGCTTTAGGGACAGAGCCCTAGGCTAACTGTCTGCAGAGGCATGTGCCCAAGACTGCAGAGTCTTCCCATATCCTTACTGGTAAAGCCATGGTCACCTGCTGTCCCTGGAAGACAATGGCCGTCACCTGGGGAGGCTGACGCTGCGGCACTGACCCCACCCAAGCAGCAGCACACCTGGTGTTTGGGTTTTCTCTTCTGCCACAAGCAAATACCCTCATTCCACAGCTCGATCTAAACTAAAGGAAAAGGGCACTGAACAAGTCTTCTACATGACTCAACAGAAAACTCAGGTTTATGAATACATTTTATATTGGAAATGAAGAAAAGAAAAAGATAGGATTGTTAGTATATTTGTGAAGAGCAAAGGAAACCTAAACCCAGGATAATGTTCGTATTAGCTCATGTTATGCTGCTTTGTTTACAGAGAGCGGGATGTGACATCCTAGGCAAACACTCGGGGCTCTTCCAGACCCACCCCCCACATGCACAGCAGTGACAGCGTCCACTTCCCTTACAAAGGCCCCCACACCTCTGCACAGCCCAGAGGCAGATGAGCAGACCCGAGGTTCTCATCTGGGGTAACTGAGACAGACCTCTCTGAGGTTTCTTCAGCTAGAGTCTGCAATAGAACTGAAACCCCTCCAGACTCTTGCTCTAAACTATTAGGCCTCACTGTAGGGAAACCGGGGAGAGAGAACCACATTTAACTATATGAAAGGTGTGAATTTGACTAATATCAGTGTAACCACATTCAATAGCTTCCAGAAACTCAAAGTCCCATGGTCGGGGACTAGGGAGTCTTGTGGATCCCCAAACACCAAAACAAAAATAAAATTCAAGTAAAATCCATTAAAAGGGCCCATGAAAGAATAGGAAGACATTTATCCAAGACTTAACCAATGTGCTATAAAAGTGATGTATGATGAAGGATGTCAGTAATGGTTTACATTTGGTGAGAGCAGAGATTAACTTTAAAACGCTAGTGCTTAAACTGGCATATTAGAAAAAAAATCCCAGTCCACCCATAATTTCCAATCAATACATACATGCCACTAAAGATGGCAGTAAAGGGAGGAGAAATTAAAATGCAGAGCCCAAATTCATACCTTTCAAAAGCAATATTTTTAGTATCGAGGCTGGTGTTAATGACTGGGCTCGTGAGCCGCCTTTCAACCTCCCTGCCTGTTGGCTTCATCAAGTCCAGAGTGAGGCGCTCCATTTCCTGGGAAAGATCAAAGTGTTCAGTGGTGACCACTTTGTCATCATGGTTGACTTCCATCAACTCCGCCCAGTTGTCTGTTAATGGAAACAAGGGCATAACTAAGTACAATGCAAGTAAGATGCAAAAACAAGAAAACCTCACATGTTAAAATGCATCATCTTTCCAAGTCTGCATTTTGAGCCATCTTCCCCAGAGATGTAGACTTTTAAAATAATTTGCATTCTTTGTTAGCAACACATTTATCTGCGTACTTTTTTAAAATATATGATTACAAAATATACATTATTTATGCACAACATTGGATAAGCCATGCCATTTATGGAGGGAATATGATGAATGAGATACAAGACAGAGGCTTGTATTCAAAAGCTCAGGGACACAAGAGATGTTGGGTGGTAAGTAATACACACAAGAGAATTATACAGATAACAAATAAGATACAGGAACTGAGAGGTGAATAATTAAAAGAACGACAAGCCCGCCGATGTGGCTCAGTGATTGAGCATTGATCCATGAACCAAGAGGGCTGGGTTCAATTCTGAGTTAGGGCACATGCCCGGGTTGCGGGCTCAGTCCCCAGTAGAAGGCATGCAGGAGGCAGTCAATCGATGTTTCTCTCTCACTGATGTTTCTACCTCTCTCTTTTCTCCCTCTCCCTTCCTCTCTCTCTAAAAATAAATAAGAACGTAATTTAAAAAAGAACAACAAAAAAATGCCCAGAAAGGATCAGATAAGGCACATGAATGTGAATGTGTTTCATGGTTAAAAATCACTCTATAACTTAGCATGAGCAGTGATTACTACAACGAAATCACTCACCTTCTCCCTTAAATATGAAACTACGCCTCCCTCTTATCCAGCTCATGTTCTCAAATCCCAGCAATGTGATATCAACACGCAGTTTGGCACCACTTTTCCAAATGCGACAGACATCATTTGGGCATATTCTGGAAACCAAGGGCACTGAAGAAGAGAAGTATATTACTGAGAAAAACCTGATGGCCAAGCAGAACACCCAGAAATCAGGATTCTGATTTTAATGAAAGGATAGGAATAGAAAGATGGTGACTGTCACATAGAGCTGGACCTGGCTGGATGTGATACAAGAAGTCACTCTTAAAAAATAAAGGTGGCCCAGCTGGCATGGCTCAGTGGTTGAGCGCTGACCTATGAACCAGGAGGTCATGGGTTCGATTCCCAGTCAGGGCACATGTCTGGGCTTCGGGCTCGATCCCCAGTGTGGGGTGTGCAGGAGGCAGCCTATCAATGATTCTTTCTCATCATTGATGTTTCTATTTCTCTCTCCCTCTCCCTTCCTCTCTGAAATCAATAAAAATATATTTTAAAAAATAATAATAATAAAAAATAAAAAAGGACCTTCTGTTTTATAGCCCTTTATAAAAGTGCAGATCTATGTCTTGTCTGGAGAAAGCTCTAAATGAATTCCTTAAGAGTATGCTCAATGCCAAAGTGAGCTCCTCTCCTTGGCTGCCATCAGAGCTCGAGTGTGTCCATCTGGCCTTTCTCGTTCACATATGCTACTTTTGCCATATGGCTGCGTCTACCATATTGTCAGATCCACCATTCAAATGATCAAATGTCTAAAATGTGCTGCTTTTTAACAAAACCTGAAATCAGAGTGCATATTTGCATTAGGGAAAACTCATTTGTTTCACAGAAGAATCTGAAGTTCTCTTCTTTTATATACTTTTTACTCCATTTCAATGTTTCATTATAAATATGACGTCTTGCCTGAAAGGGAAGTCTGGAAGTGAAAATGGCTGAAAACTGGGAATTAGGAGCTGTCATTAACTGATCAACTAGAAATAAAAGTAGAACATCTGTGAAAATTACTGTCTGTCAATTTGCCTTACATAAGATTTTGGAGAAAAATACATCCATTTTGTAAAAAACAAGCTACTCCAATGTTCATCTCATCTTCTTCCTCAGAATAACAAGTTTAAAAGAATCAAGCTAAACCACATAAGGAAGTAACTATATTATGGTAAGTCTTACTAAAATATTAGCCTTTTAAAGAACTAATAATGTGGATCAATGTCAACTGGAAATGACAAAAGAGACAAAATTATCTCTATGTTATATTTATGGATGCTTGGGAGAAAAAGTCCTACGAGTGGGGAAAAGACTAGAAAGAAAACGCCCAAAGCACTAACACTAGTGGTGCTGAAGTGGGGTTAGAGGTGACTATTTTTCCTAATTCTTATCTATGCATTTTCTAGTTTAAAAAAAATATACGTAACTTTTATAAAGGAAAAATAAACCAATATTCAGGCTAAATAAAGTTGGAAACAGAAATAAATCACAAGCCCACAGCCACTCACCCCAGCTGGTGAATTCCCATTTCATCTGCACATAGAAATCCGGAGTCTGAAGGACAAAGGTTGAAAAGAAATTACCCTTAGTGCTATTAACTAAACACATGCACAGGAAGGGTTAATAGGGCTTTTTAAAGTGGGGGAGGGGGAGAGAACAGAGAAAATAAGAAACACAAAATGCTAACCCATCAAAATAAATGCTTATTTTACATTCAGGCTGTGATTTATTCTTGATATAAAATGTCTAGACAGTTAATAAAGTTAACTGAAAGCAATAAGGTTGGAGGGGGATAAAAGTCAAATCTGATTGAGGGGCTCAATCTGGTTCATAACAGTAACGTAAGGAGCCTGGGAGGATGGGTAAGCACCGCCAGGCAGTGTGCGAAACAGGCTGTTCCAAGCAGAGAGGGGAAGGTCAGCTCCATCTATCAGGCTGGGAACCTGACTGCGAAAGGCTCTGTGTTCTGGAAAAGGCTTCACATTAACGGACCACCCTGAAACTAAAAAGAGGCAGCTGGACCTCACTTCCCCAAGAAGTCATATTCCCCTCCAGTTAACAAAAGACTTTTGCCCCCACCTTCCTCTTCAACTCTTAGAATGTGGCTTTTTGAAGTTTTACACCACCACAGCAGTCCTGTTTAAGATGCTTTTCTGACCTACCAGGTTCTTGGAGAGTGCCTTAATTTCTTAAGTACCAACCTACTTAATTTCCCATCCAAGACCAAGAAGAGAAATGCGAGAAAGTCCAGGTGTTTTTCTGTTCCCTCCCACCTCTCAAGTTCTGCCAGGTTTTTACAGAAGCACAGGGCAGGAAGACCAAGAATCTACCCTGGTTTAAGACCAGCCAGAATTCCAGTGATGGGCAGCGACCCTCTCCAGGGCAGCGGCAAGAAAGGCGTGGGTTATGAGACAAAACATCACCAACAGCCTCTGGTGCCAATAAGCTAAGGGCGGTCTATACCTTCTAGCAGGGAATACAATGCAATGCAGCTCACTATTATGGATCAATAACAGGTTTTAAAAAAGAAAAAGCCTTTACTTGAATTTTTAAAATGAGGGTGACTCCATGTTAAGTAAGTCATTTTCTGTTTTGTCAAATGGAGAAGTGACGTTTTTAGTTCCTCCTGCAGTAAGTTAGATAAGAGAACGATAAATCCATGTGATCGTTGTACAAACGCACACCTATTTTAAAAACAATGCATATAACTATTTCATATGTCATGGAAGGTTTCTTTGCAGTCCATGGAAAATTAATATCTTAGGCAGCATTTACTTTGCATGTCATAGAAATATTTCTTGAAAGGGTGTTCAGATAATGAGCAGTGATTGTCTAACTTCTGGCAAAATTGTTCCTTTTCTCCACAGAACTGTTCATTTTTCTCAAGAAATGTGTTTTGACTAACATCGTAAAGCCAATTTATCAACAAATATCGTTGGAGATGTTTTAGGGAGCTCACTTCTGTGCTTAACTTGAGAATAAATGGCATGAAAATTGAACCACTGGTACTTTCTCATCTCCTGCTGCCCTGGGAATACTGCACATGGTTGACTGATAAGATGGTTTCTGCAGGTAACAAAGATTATCTGTAGAATGGCAACCATCATCCAAAACAATCCAGGACCCTAGAAGTAAAACTGTTTAAGAAACTTCTCTAAGTGTCAAAGAGCCCATGCACTTTAATTCACAAAGACAGGTAAACTTCCCCAAAGCCAAAAAGTGTACATCAAAGAAGGCAATGAATTAGAAGCCGCAGAATACTAATGGCTAGAAGGAACAGGAGTGACAAGGAGAAGATACACGCAGACCTCTGACCCTCAAGAGACCCTGACAATCCCTGTCCAGTCACCAATGCCCAACACAATCTCCCCAAGATGCTCAGGGTGCAACTTTTAAGAAATCAGGCATCTAGACAGATTAATTGCTTGATGTCCATGTGTCTTAGTTCTACTTTTTAAATAGCACTTTATAGGGCAAGTCTAGAAACATAACTTGTGGAAGATCCCACACATTTCACAAGCAGGAAAGGCAGGGAACATGCTCTAAGTACCCAGTACATTGTATTCACGACTCACAAAGCTCTTCGGGAAGGCGCCCAACAGGTCGTCAGGCTGTGTCCCCTGCTGTCCTGTCAGCATTAACCCAATGGTGGCAATGCTATTTTTTTACAAATACCTCGAGAATCTTTTGGAGCAGCTCAGGAACTCCTTCGAGGGCCATGGACGTGTTGTGGTAGTCTCGATGTTGAAGAACTGTGTACACCATCTCAGGGTCACCAGTGCTCACAGCCTCGTGTAAAACTGGAAAACAAAAAGGTAAAACTCAATGGCCCAGTATTCTCCCACTTTCTGACAAATTCCACAGCCAGTCTGGAAAATATCTATATAGATCAAAGACCAACACATTCTTCCTGGAGAGGAGAGGCTGTAGTCTCACGTTATCATTTATGACCATGACTTCTTATTGCTAGCTTGTAAATAGGTAAAAGGAGAAGAAAATAGAGCACTTTTAGCTTCTTGTTCAAACCCTCATCCTCCTTGGTCAAATCCATCCTCCCCTTCTCCCCCTTTGTTACCACTGGTCATGGAATCCTGACAATGTCTTCAGAAAGCTGGCTTTCACTATGTGATCACACAACTACGGTTACATGTAGATCAGGCAAGCAGAGTTCTGCTTGTATATTTCCTGGCTCAGCCAACATAAGATTACCCTAACCAATAATAAGAGAATTTGTGTGTGTGTGTGTCTTACCCTAACCAATAATAAGAGAATTTGTGTGTGTGTGCGCGCGCGTGCACTCACACACGCACACACACACGCACACACACACACACACACGCAGTAAAGTGCCAGGATTTCACTGGAAAAGGCCACTTTTAAAAGGCCACAATTCCTTTTTGATTTTGCTTATCCTGATGGATTCATTGTAGTTCCCATCACATTCCTCGGGGAAATCTGGCCTCCACTCTTGTGCATGGTGGGAAGGGTTTGCACTGAGAGCTGCTTTCTAGATGAGGAGTCCCCTCTACTCAGGGCTTTGGGCCCAGGACATAATTGGGGCCACCGTGCTGTAGATCAACCAGCAGCATCCGCAGCTCCTATCTCTTTGCCCCAGTCCCTAGGCCTGAGAGAGAATGAGTCTTCAGATAAAGATGACTCTGAGGACAATGATGATTGAGACTGACCTTTAGTCAGAAAGAGAAACTGAAATGAAAGGCTTTAAAGATTTTAAAAGCATACTTGCCTGTCCATCCCTCGCGATTTTCTTTTGTAACATCTGCTTTATGTCGGAGCAAGACTCTAGCAGATTCCAAATGTCCCAAAGAAACAGCAAGATGCAATAAGGTTCGACCTCGTGGGTCCACAGCCTCCACATTCTGTAAAGTAAAGGCGGGCATTTATATAATTGGATACATTACACAAAACTGTGGCAATGGGTATGAGAGATCATAAGTACAAAAACAGAAGACTATTTACACATTAATTATGGCAATATATGGAAAAACGAATGCTTGCATACGGGCACAGTTGAAATAGGAATTTGGGGGCTATAAATAAACATGATAGCTACTGAGTTCCTCTTTCTATAGAGTTAAATGCCTAATAAATAAATGCCAGCTACCGGCCTCAGATCATTGAGCACAACCTCAAGTTCTGAACCACACTCAAATTAAGTCTAAATAAGGCTTTCCAGAAATACAACCACCCTAAGAAATGTAGGGGATTTCTTAAGCACATATCAGCATTCAGGTGTAAAACAGGAAGCACAGGCATTTATGCAAAACGGAAAGTGCAGAAGAGAATTTAGGTCAGAATAAAATTATATTCTCCAGTTGGATTCTCACCAAAACACCATTCTCATTATTGTGTATTGAGTTCCAACTGGCCTGAAGTAGTAACATCCTTGGGTCCTGCAGACAATGTGCATGATCTGTCAGGCGTGTATGTGCACATATTTATAGACAAATGTAAGAACACACAGACACACACACACACACACACGCAGGCACCATCAGTCCATTTCCCCTAGAGGGTTTTATTCCAGGTACAGACATAACCTCCTTCCGGTACGTGCACTGGGGCTCCAGAGCCAAGCGCCTGTTTCTCTGGTGGGAGCTCATTCTCAGTGGCTGGGCCCTGCCTTCCAAAGACAGCTCTGACATTCCTTCCAAGGACACAATAAACTGCCACAGGACTTTGGAATATAAAAATGGTAAGTGCCATAACACTTCGTAGAAAATGTGCTTTGTCTTGATTTGAGATGCTAGCTGTGCATGCATTAACTGCAGCCTCCAAAGAGGACCTCTAGTAATAGATAAAAGAAAACTACAGATAAATTGCATTACACCAAAACTGAAAACTTTTATACTTCAAACTAGAGGCCCGATGCATAAAATTCGTGCAGGGGGCTCGGCCCTCGCAGCCCTGGCTTCGTCCGGAAGGTTGTCTGGAAGGTCGTTTGGCTGTCCGGTCTAATTAGCATATTATGCTTTTATTATTATAGATGATACCATAAAGAAAGTAAAAAGAGAACCCATAGAATTGGGAGAAAAATTGTGCAAGTTATGTATCTGATAAGGGGCTAGTATCCAGAATATATAGAGAACTACTCAAGAATAAAAAGACAGCCCAATTTAAACTGGCAAAGGATTTGGATAGACATTTCTTCAAAGATATGCAAATGACCAATAAGCACATGGAAAGATGCTCAACCTCATTAATTATTAAAACCACACTTCGCACCCATTAGGATGGCTACAATCAAAAGACAGACAATGACAAGTGTAGACAAGGATGGAACCCTCAAACACTGCTGGTGGGAATGTAAAATTTGAAGAAACAGTTGGCAGTTCTTCAAAAAGTTAACCACAGTGACTTTATGACCCCAATTCCTCTTGTAGGTATTTATGGGGGCGGGGGGACGGGGACAAAGGTCTGTCAAATGGTAAATGGATAAGCAAAATATATATACACAATGGGATTTTATTCAGCCATATAAAAAGGAATGAAGTACTGATACATGCCACAATGTGGATGAACCTCAAAAACATCATGCTAAATTACGTTAAAGAAGCCAGACACAAAGGCCACATGCACAATTCAATTTACATGAGATGTCCAGAATAGGCAATTCTATAGAGTAACAAGTAGATTAGTGGTTGCCTGGGGCTGAAGGGATTGGGAGAAATGCGCAAGTAACTAAGGGGTATGGAGTTTCTTTTGGGGGTAATGAAATTTTGCTCCCTTATAAAATGAGATCAATAAAAAACACCCACCTTACTGAGTTCTTACAAGGCACAATGCCTAACCCCATAGTAAGCATTAAGAGGAGTCAGCTCTTATTATCATATGCCCACACTATGTCGTTTTATATAAGCTGTCACTTTCTTCCTAAAAGAGATTTGTTCAAATTTCATTATAGTTGATAGTGAGTCTTAGGGTCCTCAAATAATGACATTAGTTCAGTGAGCAAGAGCTTTCAGAATTTCACTGAAATTCATTCAAAGCTGATTGTTTTTTCTTTAAGTTTCTTCAGGCCTGAGCTGTACCGAATTAAAAATACCCACCCCAGCCCAGCCAGCGTGGCTCAGTAGTTGAGCATTGACCTATGAACCAGGAGGTAACGGTTCAATTCCCCGTCAGGGCACATGTCCGGGTTGCAGGCTCAATCCCCAGTAGGGGGCCTGCAGATTCTCTCTCATCATTGATGCTTCTATCTCTTTCTCCCTCTCCCTTCCTCTCTGAAATCAATAAAAATATATCTAAAAAATACTCACTCCTTTTAAGTATAATAGTGCCCCCCAAAAGAAAAGGATGAGATTTCTGCATGTCTCCTTCCTATCTGTTAACTTAAGCCCCACCAACTTTTCTTGCTCAAAGCCTTCTCTGTCATCCTGCTGTCCTCCAAAGGCAGCAAAAGGCGGAGCTTTGAGTGCAGGCTGCAGACTAGGCATCAGTCTCACTTCCTGGTCCCTTCCTAGCCTCAGGTGAATTACTCAACCTTCCATGCCTTGGTCTCAGCGAGAAGTACAGGCTTTATGAACGACCACTGTTTCCTCTGGCGGGGCACCTCGGGCAACCACCTTCACTCGTGGGCAGTCTCAGACTGCTCTGGTCCTCTGTGGCCTGAACTGGTTCCTCATTCCAAGTCCAGGGGGAAAGGTATCCACTGGCCTGGTTCTCTAAGGTGAGCCCGAGTTCCTGAGGGCCCAGGGGGAGCAGCCGAATAGCTCTAGGTGAGTCTAGGCTCTTTATCTTGGGATGGCTGGCCTGGCTCACAGAAGGCTTCCGGCCAACAGGCACTGACTTGAGTGTGTGCCCAGTGGCCTCATGCAGCCTTGTCACAGGCGGGGGTGGACACCTCAGGGTGGCTCCCTGTCAGGCTCTGAGGACTGCTGCCTAGACAGCTCTCTTCCCCTGGCCTGAATTCTGTGCTTTCACCTGCTGGTACCTTACTGGGGCTGGCCCTAGAGTCAGGCCTCATCTACTTCCATCTATCCCACTCAGTCCCAGTCTAAGGTGCACTGACTGGCCTTTGTATTTGTCCCCTTTCATTCATTCATTCTCCCAGTGTCTTTAAGAAGTTTCTATTCATCCTCCCAGCATCGGTAAGAAGGCCAAAGATATGTAACAGACCTCTCTTGCTAAATGATAAATGGCATAACCATAACACAAATCATTTCAACTGTACCAACCAACTTGAAGGCCCCACTGAATATTAAAGACAGCAAAGCCGATGGGTTAAGAGGCACTTAATAAAGTGCCTGAAAGGAAGGCACTTAATACTGTGCCTTTGCTGAGCAGATGTTAAAAGCCTGAAACAATCTCCTAGTTGACAAAGTTAGTTACTAAACAGCTAACTCCAGCTATTAGCAAGATATCGGGTTGGGGGCTAACACCCATGCAGAAGCACATACTTCTCAGCTTCATCTGGATAAACTGGATTCTTTCTGTTCTGCTGTTCGTAAAACAAAATTAAATTCTTACCAGTATGCCTGCTTCAAGTCTCACTCATGGAATGGAAGGAATGAAGAAATGGATAGCAGAAACTTACTGGCAAATAAAACATTAAGTGAAACAGCTGGTTTTATTGCTGGGATGGTAGGAATTTTTTGTTTTTAATTATGCAACCAGTATGTGTTCCTTTAGAAAAACTGGAACATACACAAAAAAGCTGAATACCCAGGATGATCATCATAATAACAGCAGCAACTACGGCAAATGGTATCATACCCCTTTACTATATGCCTGCATTTTCAGATGGGTTCTCTGCCTTAACTTTCCACAATCCTGAAATGAAGGTACTTTTAATCAAATAAGTATAGCATAAGGGTTAAGAATACAGGATTAGGGCAGAGTCTGACTTTCTGGGTTTATATCCTGGTTCGGGATATACATACATAAGCATACATCAGAGCCTCTCCTCCTCAGTTTCCTAACCTGTAAAATGGGAATCATAATAGCACCCACCCCAAAAGACTGGTGTCTAGAATTAAATGTAAAACTGCACATAAAACATTTTAGCACAGCCTGGAGGTTTCATTATTGTTAGGGCACATGCCTGGGTTGCAGGCTCAATCCCCAGTAGGTGCCCTGCAGGAGGCAGCTGATCGATGATGTTCCTCTCTCATTGATGTTTTTATCTCTCTATCCCTCTCCCTTCCTCTCTCTCTAAAAATCAATAAAAACAAATTTAGCCCCGCCGGTGTTGCTCAGTGGTTGGACGATGACTTACGGACCAGGAGTTCATGGTTCGATTCCCAGTCAGGGCACATGCCCGAGTTTGTGGGCTGGATCCTCAGTAGGGGTCATACAGGAGGCAGCCAATTAATGATTCTCTCGCATCATTGATGTTTCTACCTCTCTCTTCCTCTCCCTTCCTCTCTCAAACCAATAAACATATTTTTAAAAATAATAAAATAAAAACGATATATTTACTTTTAAAAATCATTTTTAAAAGAAACACCCAAAAACATTTCAGCACAGCAGCTAGCAAAACAGTAAGCTTTCAGTGTTACTCTTACTCCCCACATTTTTACAGGCAATAAAACAATTCAGCAAGGGCAAATAACTTACCCATTCTCATAACTGAAATCAGCATTAGTACTTGCCATTAACTCAACTGCCTCCAAGTCAGAAGTAGGTAGCTGGTTCATAATTAACAGAGGATCTCAATAAATATGAAAACAATAAAATATTTCCTAACTTGTATTTTAATGATATCAATTATCAACTTCTTGACCCTGAACCAGTTACATAATTTGCAGGGACCAGTGAAAAATAAAAATGCAAGACACCTTATTAAGAAAAAAAATTATGAATTTCAGGACGGTAACATCAGAGTATTAAACCAATCCTGAGCCCCTTCTGAGCACAAGGTAGCATGCCTTTGAAGCTAGATCAACTCAACCCTTTCAATGGCCAACTTTCAGAATTGAAATTGGGTTGTGTGGTCATGACAGTCAAGCTTCCACGGTCAAGATATTCTTTTTTAAAAAAATAAATGTTTTTATTGATTTAGAGAGAGAAAGGGAGAGGGAGAGAGAAAAATATCAACCAGCTGCCACCTTGCACAGCCCTAAAGGGGTTGGAGCTCAAAACCCAGGCACATGCCCTGAGCAGGAATCGAACCAGCAACCTCTTGGTGCACAGATGCTCAATCCACTGAGTCACACTGGATGGGTTCAAGATGTTCTTTATGATTACATTTGACCTTCCTCTTCCCCAAAGAGAATAGGTATACTGTGAAATGATCTACAGTGATAACCAATAACAAAGTCAAAACCAAGTAACTAGCAAGTATGAACAGTTTTCCTGAGACCTCCTTGACGGCTGAAGGCATTAAGGACCAAGTTATTCCAGGAAAATCTGCTGCAAAATTATAATTTTCTAATCACAAATGTCCTTAAGGTTTTTCAAGTTAAACATCACAGAGAACTTTCAATGAACAGCTTTATCACAGCTTGCAGGAAAAAGAGATAATTCAACTATGTCACATTACAGATTATAAACCAAGACTGCTCTTATCAAACAAGTTTTTCTATCAAGAACAACTCCAGTTTATTTAAACTCTTTTCTTCACCTCCAATGACTAGAAAGTGGGCTGTTTTCAGAAATCGGTATTGAAAGAGTGTGTGGTTTAATGATGATGATGAAGCTCTCTATCAAAGGGGATGTTAGTTCTGTGACTTTGTACTTTATCTTGATATTTCACAAGAAGCTGGACAGCCCGATACTGAGGAAGTGCAGATACAAAATGCAGCTGACCTAAAAACCAGGACTGTCCAGTTGTTTTTAAAGTGCCCACGGTGAGACTTAGAGTTAAGAGCAAAATGATGGAGGACTCCCTCTGTAACAGAAAGGGAATGAAATCATCAGGTATACTAGGATGCCTAGTGGTGAATCATTTACTCTGGGGGCATGATCTAATTAAGACCAATGACTTACAATAAAGGTTTATTTTCATTGGATGGAGGATTTACATGAAAAAAAAAAGCGACTTTTGACTTCCAGTGGGTGCTCAACAGATTTGAAAGAAATATGGCAGGGTGCAAGAACAGCTAGCATTCACCACTTACCAAATGAGTTGATGCTGACAGCTCAATGCTCACCAACCAAAAGACAACCAGTGCTCCTTTAACCTAAAATTCCTTGACCATTATAGTGTCAATTCTGATCCATTCGAAAACCAGGACTTTAGTGCACTGGATAAAATGAATCAACAAGAACAATTACACCAAACAACTACAAATCCTTATTCTAACTGCTAAGTTTATTACCTTGTAACTTGAAGGCACCAACAATTCCCAGAATTGGAGGAATGCCTAAGCAGGGCTTCTCAAGCAAAACACTACTGACATTTGGGGCCCGATAATTCTCAACTGCCTCCAAGTCAGAAGTAGGTAGCTGGTTCATAATTAACAGAGGATCTCAATAAATATGAAAACAATAAAATATTTCCTAACTTGTATTTTAATGATATCAATTATCAACTTCTTGACCCTGAACCAGTTACATAATTTGCAGGGACCAGTGAAAAATAAAAATGCAAGACACCTTATTAAGAAAAAAAATTATGAATTTCAGGACGGTAACATCAGAGTATTAAACCAATCCTGAGCCCCTTCTGAGCACAAGGTAGCATGCCTTTGAAGCTAGATCAACTCAACCCTTTCAATGGCCAACTTTCAGAATTGAAATTGGGTTGTGTGGTCATGACAGTCAAGCTTCCACGGTCAAGATATTCTTTTTTAAAAAAATAAATGTTTTTATTGATTTAGAGAGAGAAAGGGAGAGGGAGAGAGAAAAATATCAACCAGCTGCCACCTTGCACAGCCCTAAAGGGGTTGGAGCTCAAAACCCAGGCACATGCCCTGAGCAGGAATCGAACCAGCAACCTCTTGGTGCACAGATGCTCAATCCACTGAGTCACACTGGATGGGTTCAAGATGTTCT